AACTGCTAACAGGACTTCCCTTGAAAGCTAAGATGCGGTGAATTTTCCAGAAAGTTACAGCCACGCCTGGCAGCTTGAATGCATACATTCAGCTGGGTTGACAGGGCAGATAACTCAAGGTCTCCATGATTTTACAATGGAATTAGTAGGTAATCTTTGCTTTAAAGAGGAACTAATCTTTCACAGTTTCTGTGCTGGTGGCCCACAGGCAAACGCCAGATGAAACTTGTTTTAATCTTACTATGTCCTCGGGTTCAGGCAGGATCTGTGTTCAGGTCCCCAGGTCCAGATTATTCTGATCCTTGTATAGCTGTTGTTATTTGTCTTCAAATTATTAATGCCTGAAAGGATGGGGGTCTGATGAGAGAGAGAGAGAGAGAGAGAGAGAAAGTTGCAACCCCAGAGTGTCAGTCTAAACCAGATGTTCCTGGGCTTGGGGCTCAACACCAACCCGATTTGCTTAGGTGTGTGAACAGCCTGCTCCTAGCAGCAGCTACCTGTCACTTGACACAGTACAGAGACAAAACCTCCAGAATAAAAGCGATAAGAGTGCACCTACAACAGATAGCACCCTGCCCTGACCCCAAGGGGAAGGGCTGTTCCTAACCAGCTCAATCCATTTTTAGAAGCACATTATACTTTCTCGGGGCTGTCTGGAAAGTATGAAGGCAGCCCTTCAGGGGCCCTGCTGATCCCCATATGGGCATAATGGGGTCAGCTATCCCATTAGTTCTGAACTCCGTTTAGTTTCTAGGCAGCCCAAGCCACTCTCAGTGGCCCATGTGTTCAAACTGCTGGGACCCTCTCCTCCCCCAGGGGCAAAGCAGACTGCCTCCTCTGTAGACATTCCTCCAAGCCGAATTCTGTGTGGAATGCACAAAAGAGAAAGGCACTCCCAGTGAAGCTAACTGACATAAATCATCAAGGACCATGAAATCGAGACATATATTACAGTACAACATGTTCTCTTGAATAGTTCAACTTCCTGACCATTCTATGGGGGAAAGTTTCTTTTGGACTAGTTACTAGCCCTTTGTTCTTCCTCCTTGCGTACAGGAACTGAAAACAATTTCAGAAGGCTCTGTATTAATGCCGTTGACACACTGACCATACATCTCTCCCCAAAGCACACTTTTTGCTGAATGTCAGTTTCTTTGAGAAGGGTCTCTGGAAAACAGTAACTGAACTCTGCAGTCCACTCAGATCTTCATGAAAAATCCTACTGTCTTGCTGTTACTGTGGAGATGTTTTCTGGAAGAAACACTATTTGAAGTACACCATGCTTTTTGGTTTAATGTAATTTCTGGGTTTAAAAAATGCCATTACAAACAATCTGACTACTGCTATCTTTTGAAATTTGCTGTGAGAGGCATAAGGGAAGAGGGAAGAACTTGAAATTTTGTTTTCCTCCAGTTATACAGAGAGCTACAATAACAATACTGGGGGCTAAATTCTCAACCCCATTTCTGTTACCCAGGGAATGTGCAAGGCTATTTCTTGGTTAATGGCTCCATATGTTGGCAATTCATGACTCAAAATGAACTGACACACCAAAAAAGTGTCATTTAAAAGGAAAGACAAGTGATGGGATGAAAGATGGTGATTTTGCCGCCAGAGCTAACCTATTACAGGACTGGGTCCCTGTTGGTTTTGATAACAAATCTTAAGGGGGCATCAGTCATGATGGGCCTTAATCACAAGAATCATAAACTATTACGTATGACTTCTCAGCAGGTCAGTTTAATTACAGGGCTGTGGAAAGCATGTCGACCTCATTTTTGTATGTTTTTCAAGAGAGAAATCATTGCTAGAACCAAACATATGTGGAATTACCCTGATATGTATCAGCTTTTTTTATTTTAAATCCTTAAGGACAAGAGAGCTTAAAAATGACTTGCCATCAGGACACAAAAGAAATAATCAATGCTTGCCGAAGTCATAAAATGTGATTTCCAAAGGCACTGATAATCGTGAAATAAAAACAAAGCAAAATAAAGTAAAAAACTAACAAAAGCAAAATGTTTCACTCAGAGGCCTCAGGACTGATGTGTTCCATGTCTCCTTTCTAAGGGACACGCTGCTGTATGTCACCCTGCAAGTCACTAATTAAAGACTTTTGACAACTGGGAAAACATTTGCTTAAATGGATGATCTGGTGATTGAATTGGAGTGTCTTCAGTCCTAGTTCTGCCAGCAGTGTGTCAGCTGGCTAGGGTGACCTTATACTTAAATGTAAACCAAAGGACTAGTGACAGAGAACGGGGATACTATTCATAATTACAGTAAGAAGATGCAGAAACCATGGCTGTTCCTGGCAGACCAGCACAGATGGCCACCTATGTGTAGTCCAAGATAAGCCCCGGCGCTCCTCAAGTTTCCAAATGTGAAATGAGCATAACAGTGCTGTCTGAGTTTCCCGACGCAGACCTCATCGAGGAATATAAGCATGAATTAAAGGTGTGAACCTCATTAGAGCTGCATGACAAGCCTCACCAACAATTTCATATCAGAAAACACAAATTCCACAGTATGATATTCTGTATGATTCATCCATCAAAACAGAATTTTCCTTTCTGTGGGACCAGGAGGGAACCAAGCCACCATTTCTATCTCGAGCGTTCTCTCCAGAAGGTAACCAATCTTCCTGCTCTTACTTGCAGTCCTTAAAATCCCAGCTGCTCCAAGGAAAGCCGCCCAGCCAAGAGAAGTGAGGTGAACCCGAGCCCCCACCGCTCAAGTCTCTCCATTCTGAAGTCTTGGAACTTTCTTCCCACACCCCATACAAATTCCTCATGCAGTTATAAATATGAACTACATTTAGAGCCAATGTGTTAATACTTTAAGCATATCTGCTTTCTTTTCAAGAGAATCCATTGATGTTCATTTTTATCTGGGTTTCTTTTTATCTCCTTTAAGTTAGAAGGTGCTAGAGAGCAAAGACCACGCCTGCAAAACACTGGAGCTGGAGCTGCCGTGTGTGCGGCACGTCGGGGAGAAATCCATGCTCAGCTCTGCTTCCTGGTCACCACAGACCAAGTCTGGATTCCAGGTGGCGATTTTTTTTTTTAAATCCTTACCCGAGGACATTTTTTCCATTGCTTTTCAGAGAGAGTGAAGGGGGGCAGGGGGAGAGAGAGAGGCACAAATGTGAGAGAGACACATCAAATGGTTGCCTCCTGCATGCTCGCTACCAGGACCAGGATGGAGCCTGCAACTGAGGTACATGCCCTTGGCAGGAATTAAACCCAGGACCCTTCAGTCCACTGGCTGAAGCTCTAAACACTAAGCCAAACCGGCCAGGGCCAGGGGGTGACATATAAGTAAAAATTGCAACTTATATATCTCAGAGCGAGCTAAACCATGACATGTTTCACAGAGTTCCTAAAGGCCCAGAGTAGAATG